TGACCCTGCTCATGCTGTCTCTCTCTCTCTCAAAAATAAACTAAAAAAAAAAAAGGAAAATGACTCAGATTTGGATAGGATAAGATAAGAGAGAGTAGGAACATTAGGAAGGCAGTAAAATGTGAGGTGTATCTAAAGAATAGTGGGTAGGATGTATGTCTGGTTCGAAGAGGAGGGAAGCAGAGGCAGATAAGCTGAGAAGATATCGTGAAAGGCCCAGATGCTGTCATGGCAATCATTTAGGTTTAAACTAGACAGGAAGAGGCTAGGGCGAGTGGTTTTTTTTCTCTTTGTGTGTGTGTGTTTGCTTTTTGTTTTTTGTTTCTGAAAGCTTTAGTTTCAAGTTATATAAAAATAAAGTTTGCCATGTTTACATTTACTAGTTATGAAATAAAAATGAGAGCATAGCTACTTTCCTGATAAGTAATGTTTAGGGAATGAAAAAATAAACATGTGGTCAAATGCTTTGCTGTACAAAACATGCTGCACTATTTGATTTAGACAGTATTATTTTCAGAAGGAAAAAGAATGAGAACATTTATTAAGCACTTATTGTGAACTAAACACTATGCTAGTCACTTTTCATACAATGTAATCCTTACAACAAGCTTATAAAAGAGATATCACCATTCATACAGATGAGGCAAATAAAGCCCAGAGACTTAAGTAACTGTCCAAGGGACATGACTCAACTCGGGTTTGGTAATATTTCATACTGTCACCTATTATCTCAAGGCATTTGGGGAAGGTTTGAAAACAAATTAACAACCAGATACATATATCCATATATCCACTCAATCTTTTAAAATAGGGCATAAAATGGTGTTACAAACCTAAATAAATATATTAAATCTTAAAAAAGATGCATGTTCACTTTGAGAACCGTTTTTAAACAATAGGTAAAGCTGTATTACTAGTAGTGTGTTGACTGACAGAAATTTTGTTAAAATGTAGCATATGAGGGGTGCCTGGCTGGCTCAGTTGGTAGAGCATGAGACTCTTGACTCTTGACCTCTTGACTCTTGATCTCTGGAGTTGTGAGTTTGAGCCCCATGCTGGGTATGGAGATTGCTTAAAAATTAAATCTTAAAAAACAAAAAGTAACACTGAGAAAAGTCAGCTAAGTTACTGCTAAGCTTAGTCACAGTACTTACTGGATGCAACACCTTTTTGTTCCGTATTTAAAAATATCACAGAGAAAAGGAGGAAAAGCAATTCAAAATCATAGTCTGATGCCATCTTCTTTGGCCCAAGAGAAACAAGGTGTCAAGTTCACAGACGTAAGGGTCTAGATGTACACCACCGTATCAACATGGCTCGTTCTTCTTGCACTTGGACCTGCTCCTTTGAATATCAATGCTCCAGAAGCTCCCAACACAGTGTGGTTGTGTTTGTGGCCTCTGTGAGGAGGTGCTTTGGAACTAGTTAGTCTCCTGGTGAGCAGCACACAGAAACCTGGAGCTGGTGGAACCCACTCCTAACCTGGAACCCAGAAGGCCGTGAAGACAGTACCACTTCCTCAGTGGTGGACCCTTGCAGTAAGAATGTCTTTCCCCTCCCATTTGAGTTACCCTCCCATGGGAATCCCAGCTCACCCATCAGGGATCCATCCCTACAGTTTCCTGGCTTTCTTCCACCTGTACCTCCAGGGACCCCAACAAGTCCTGTACCAATGGACATTATGGCTGCTGCTACAATTGTCTTAGTACCCACTGTGTCTATGGTTGGAAAGCATTTAGGAGCAAGAAAGGATCATCCAGGCTTAAAGACAAAAGCAAAAGAGGAAAACTGTGATCCTACCACTATGGTTTCCGTTAGTAACATTTCTAAGTAATCCTCGGACATGCTATTAGACAACTCCTTGCTAAATGTGGCTTGGTTTTGAGCTGGAAGAGAGTACAGGTGCATCTGGAAAACTTCAAGCCTTTGGATTCTGTGAGAATGAGGAGTCTGAATCCATCCCTGTGGCACTCAGGTTATGGCATGATCTGAAGGTTGGACGGTAGAAGCTACTTTTTAAAGTAGATGCAAAGATGAAGCCAAAACTGGATAAATGGAAAACAAAGAAAACTTTTGATGGAAATGCCAGGCCAGAAATTCACTAATGATAAGAAGCCTCAGACGAAGAAACAAAGAGATCAAGTGTGCCTTTGGGCCTTTGAACTTTTAATACATGAATATTCCAGTGAACTCAATGCCCGCTCAAAAGAATCTGATTCTCACCCCAGGAAGAAGAAAAGAAGGACATTTTCTGCAGACTCCAGTGGCTCCACTGATCCCTTAACCACTAACCACTAACGAGGATATAAATGCTATAGAAATGGAAGAAGACAAAAGAGACCTGAGATCTGCAAATTCAGAGACACACACAATAAACTGGGAAAAAAGGGAAAAAAGGAAATGGAAAGACAGGAAATTGACAAAGAACAGAGAGGAGAGAAGGAATGTGAAGGGGAGCAAGAAAGGGAAGAGTGGGCATGAGAAAGGGAGACAATGTGAATGAGGAGAGGAGAAGGAATGGGAGAGTGAGATAGGGACCATGACTACAATTGGGAGAGGAGCTCACATTGGAAAAAGCATTGGAGTCGATCAGGAGAAAAGAGCAGAGATCCTGAAAGGGAGTGGGGAGAAAGAATGGAAATGAGGGGTAGAGAGAAATGAAGTGGGAATGATGGGGAGAGAAGACAAGAAGCAGGATTGTAAAGAGGGTGAAGATGAAGATGAGTGAAGAAAACTTGAAAGCTCTGAGAGAAGAAGCTTCTTATCAAGAACGCCTTAAGAACTGGGAATGCAGAGACCGGAATAAAACCCGGGAGCATGAGAAAGAGGCTGAAAGAGGAGAGAAATGGGAAAAGAAGCTGAATGCCTGGAAGGTTATACTGCTCGAGATGACCCTGAGTATTACTGAGGAGGTTTCTTCAGAAAAGGGTGGACGATAGGGAAAAGGAAATGGAAGCAGATGTATGGGATTGAGGAGAGAGAAGGAAGAACTAGAGGAAATCAGGCAGGGCCTTCTGGCTGAAGGGTGTGGGGATCCAGATGCAGAGCTCCAGAGGACGCAACAGGAGGCTGAGAGGGTGCAGACAAGTACCAGAAAAGCAAGAACCAGAACCAAAGGAAGAAGAAGGAGAAAAGCACAAAAAAGAAAAAAATGAGAAGACTCCATGGAATAGGAAGAGCCAGAACAAAAGCTTGATCTCAAACTAACTCTGAGGCCATCAGTTCTGTTCCATCTGTTTCCTCTGCCAGTGGCAATGCGACCCCAACAGCCTTGGGGGTGAGTCTTCCTGTGGTATTATTATTGCCCATGAAGACTCCCCAGACCAACAACTACCTGAAGAACATAGGCCAAAAAACAGGGCTAAGTCTTTTTTTTTTTTTTTTAATTTAAAGTATTTTTTTTTGGGGGGGGGGGGCGCGGAGAGAAAGAAGGAGACACAGAATCCGAAGCAGGCTCCAGACTCTGAGCTGCCGGCATAGAGCCCAAAACGGGGCTCAAACTCATGAACCATGAGATCATGACCTGAGCTGAAGTCAGACGCTAAACTGACTGAGCGATGCAGGCACCCCTGAGTAGGGCTAAATCTTAAATGGGGTGCTTCCAACAGTCCTGGTCAGCCTAATTCTGTGGAAGGAGAGAAACTCCCCATAGATGGTATCCTTAACAAATTTGAGGATGAAGTCAGTGATGATACACTGTAATAGGAAACTGGTTCTCTTGGATTATTGTGAGGATGATAAAATACTGCCCAAGGCATTGTAAACACTGAAGAAAAGCACAAATACGCAGGAGTCTCATTGAGAAGATCCTTACTGCCAAATCTGAGCTCTCTGCTTACCTCCCAGATTGGTCTACTGTGGAATCTCTACTGACAGAAGGACAGGTTAGACCATGGATTAAGAAGATCATGGAAGGGGCACCTGGGTGGCTCACTTGGTTCAGTGTCTGGCTCTTGGTTTTGGCTCAGATCATGATCCCAGTGTTGTGGGATTGAGTCCTGCACTGGGCTCCTTTGCTGAGCTGCAGCAAAGATTCTCTTTCTCCCTCTGCCTCTCACCCTGCTCACTCACTCTCTCTCTCTCAAAGAAAAATAAAAAAGAAGAAGAAACTTATAGACTACCTAGGTGAAAAGGGAGCTACATAAGCTAGTTTTGTCTGTTCTAAGGTTATGGCTCACAGTTTACAGCTCAGTATTTTAGATGGTGTTACCATGGTACTTGATAAAGAAGCAGAAGCTTTTATATTAAAATGTGGAGATTGCTCTTTCCGCCATCTTTGAACCTGTGGAGGCCTGCTGGGAACAGGACTCCTGAAACGACAAATATGTCTGGAAGGTTGTGGTCCAAAGCCATTTTTGCTGGCTATAAACGGGGTCTCAGGAACCAGAGGGAGCACACAGCTTTTCTTAAAATTGAAGGTGTTTATGCCCGAGATGAAACTGAGTTCTATCTAGGCAAGAGATGTGCTTATGTGTACAAAGCAAAGAACAACACAGTGACTCCTGGTGGCAAACCGAATAAAACCAGAGTAATCTGGGGAAAAGTAACTCGTGCTCATGGAAACAGTGGCATGGTTCGTGCAAAATTCCGAAGCAACCTTCCTGCTAAAGCCATTGGCCACAGAATCCGTGTGATGCTGTACCCCTCAAGGACTTAAACTAACTGAAAAGTAAATAAATAAAGGTGTAGATTTGTTCTCTTGTAAAAAAAAAAAATAAAATGTGGAGATTACTGATATGAAACAGAAGAAAATTGGTCTCATTACATAAAACTCTTTTTCACATTAGGAAACAAATACTAATGCGCTTCTATCATACATGTACACACACACTTCAACTTAGGGCATGTGTCTCCCCTCCAATCTAAATGAACAAATTCTCTGTTCAAACTGGATGGTTTGAAACTCTTTTGTTAACATTTTAAAAGAAATTACCACAATTATTTCAAACTAATCCCCCATATGAATATTTTACTATAAAATAAAACAACTAAATACAGAATAGAGTTGTTTATTATTTATTCATTTCTACACAGGATAAGGATCTGAGAGTAGATCAAGAAAAGTAGCGACCTAGCTTGACAAAAAATAGATAATCACTAAAGTAGAAAATTAGAAATATTAAAAACAAATTAGGCAGAACATCTTGAAGGTTTTATAGACTTTGCATTTTAAAATTATAACTCATCAGAAACTATATTTTTCTTATGCACTGTTACTAAACTAGTTGCATTTTGGCTTAACTTACAACTGGTGATAATTTATCCATTTGTATATAAACATAATTAATATTCTTTCTACAATTTAGATTAAAAATTGTACAACTGCCAACAAAAATGTGAACTCATATATACATTTCTGATATTGGGGAATTACGTTATGGCATGCCAAACATGAGCAATGTATCTATGATATAGAATAGTTGTGAAATAATAAAAGAGAAAAAAATTCTTTCAAATTAATGATTCAGTTAATTTGCACATTTGAATAAAAAGAAAACATCATTATGACTAATGGTTTCTTAGTCAAATCTCCCTGTTTCTTATATAATTACACACAGATAAAATTTTAGGGAGTAAACACTTTTTACTCAGAGATAAGGTCTGTATACACTGTCAATACAAAAATGTAAGCATCTGCCCTGTGAGTTCACTGTGTTCCGTTGCAATGCTAGACTTACTAGAGTAAGTTTTACAGGTAAGCAAATGTGTCATGGCTAGGAAAAGGATTTTAATGGCTGATCTTTCTTCTTACTTGAATAGGGTGACTGGAATGTATTCAGCTTAAGACTAAGCAATCACAACTTTGTTTCAATTACTCTCTTTCAGCATACCTTGTGTCATATATTTGAACTAGATCTTAGACACATGCAGTAAAGAGCTTATGGTAGATTGGAAAGCCCCCACAATTTCTTGATGGTGCTGGGACCTGGTAATTTTGAGGTAACTGACTTCCTGAATGGGCTGCTATTGTAGGGCTCCTCAAGTATCAGTGATGTAAAAGGAGGAGCCCAACAGATTACCTCTTGGTTCAACTATGCTTTATTTCTCTTTCATGCACTCCTGTAATAAGCATTATGTTAAGCTGATCCTACCAAAAAGTCAACAGGCTGCTGAGAAAATATCTTGATGGAATTTTAGGCACTGAAGGCTAGAAAGTACTTGGAAAAAAGTCTAATAATGATCTACCTGTATTAGGATTTTTCCTTGTGATTTTAGGTGCATCAAAAAATTTTTTTTACATATAAATGGATTATTTGCTAAAATAGCAAACTAAGTAACTTTTGATATCTAACTCAACAAATAGAGAAGAAATAAGCTAAAACTAGTAATATATACTTATGATTATTGTGCATATCACTGTGAGTTGTTGAGGTAAGGTCAGATATAGGCAGTGTTTTCATTTATAGCATATCAGTACTCCAAAAAATCCTTCAGTTAGCCGCTGATCACATGGTTTCTGCCGTGTATAAATGATGATTTTTGGCAATAACAGATTTGACCGGAGGAGATGATGTATATACCCCTCAGTAACCTCTCTATACTGGCTAGCTTTATCACCTTTAAATATTATAAATGAGGAATATTTAGCTAAGTGTATTAGCAGTGACTAATACTACAGTTGCTAGTGAATGGCTATATGTTTGTATAAAACGCCATAATTAAACTTCCATTTGACAGGAGATAGGTTAGCAAACTATTTGGATGAACTGCTACCTTATTTACTAAGTAAAATGCCCATATATCAAAAAGAAATAATTCCAAAATTATTGGACACATTATCTTCTCAAGTCCATTTGGTCTTTGAAAATCTATGCTGTATAGTCATTAAATGAAATTTCCTGTCTTTTTCCAAAGGGCATGATACTGCTATGTGCCTTTACCTAAATATGATGGATAGTGGAGACTGCTCTCATGGATGCATTTGTTTAAACATGAAAAGTCTGCATTCTTAATGTTTACCACAAACCCAACGAAGCTGATGATCAGTTTGAAGGTCAGTCAGTTCTTCAATAGTTCTCCAGCTACACTGGCAGGCATATGCCCGTGTTCCTTTCTTCTTTATCAACTTAGTTCTTAATTTGTGGAATTCTGGCATGTTGTTCCTATTAATAAAAAATGAAGATTTTAGCATAGTGGCTTTGTCCTATCAGAGACGACATGATATGAGAAGAGAGTAGGAGGGAGGGTGATTCATCTTCTACCTCAGATACTCACCTATACCGTATTCTACACTTGATCTTAGCCAAAAGGCTGAAAAGCGATCCTATACCGTATTCTAAAAGCCTGCAATATCATCAATGGAAGGTACATAAGAGACATACAGATAATAGGCTTCTGATGTGTTAACTACAACAATTTTTCATTCATAGAGAAAAGGTGCCTGTTATTTTTATTTGTTGAACTAATACCATATCTTTCATTTATCAGCAAGATATACTATTAGTGACAGAATGTCTATGCTGTGTTAAATGTCAATAATGTTAATGTTTATTCATTTTTGAGAGAGAGACAGAGAGATAGAGTGTGAGTTGGGGGAGGGGCAGAGAGAGAGGGAGACACAGAACCCGAAGCAGGTTCCAGGCTCTGGGCTGTCAGCACAGAGCCTGATATGGGGCTAGAACTCATGAACCACAAGATCATCACCTGAGCCAAAGTCGGACACTCAATTGACTGAGCCACCAGGAGACCCTGTCAATAATGTTAAAACAATTAAACCAATGGGCAGGACCATTATAAAAAATGGTAACTATCTGACTTGATGCTACTATAAAAAAATTAATTTAAGCTTAATTATCTGAAAATCAATTATAAGGTTTTCATGGTAATCAATGTATCGAATTTACGTAACGTAAAAAAAGGAAAAATTCAAAATGAAATGATGAAACAATACAAAGTAAAATGATGAACTGTGGTATAAATATTAAAAAAAGAGACAAAGTGCTGTTACTTTTGATGTCACTGCAATAGAAGGCAGGCTACAAAGTGCCCTCTGGTGGCCAATGGGCACCATACTCAGTACTGTTTTGTTTTAAAACCAGGCATAATTTAGGTTTGAACCTAACAAAACCTAGGAGATTTTCCAGGCCAACTTTGTTTTCAGGAAACTGAGACTTTGACTAGGTAAGAGTTACAGTAAACTAGAGGAAGAAATGAATAATCTAGTTTTATCAGAAATAAAAAAACTCCACAAAACTAAATGTGTTTAATAAAAACTAAATGGTTAAATGAAGGAAAAAACGTTCTTTATTCAATCTGCAACATATTGGGACAAATTTAACATTTGATACTTGACTGAATCATTAATTGGAGATTTTATGAGTAGGAATCCTAAATATCCAGGAAACTAATTAATGTATTTTGAATTATTCTAAGAAAGCACATACCTTAAAAGCCTAGAGGGGGACCTGGGTGGTTCAGTTGGTTAAGTGTCTGACTTCGGCTCAGGTCATGATCTCACGGTTTGTGAGTTTGGGCCCCACATCGGGCTCTCTGACTGACAGCACAGAGCCTGCTTTGGATCCTCTGTCTCCCTCTCTCTCTGTCCCTCCTCTGCTTGTTCTCTCTCTTTCTCAGAATAAATAAATAAGTAAAAAGCTTAGAAATATAATTTCCTGTAAAAAATTATTGATTTAGTAGAAAAATAAAAGCATTTTATTTAGCTATTATTGCAGGATGGTCAAGTATAGCTTATACTTCTTTTTGAAAATTCCAGAATTTGTCAAAGCTAGAATACACTATTTCCCTCATCTATGAAATAAGGACAATAAAACAAACCAAGGTACATACTGATACCACTAAAAATAAATGTCTCCCCGTGTTCTGCTGGGCAATCAACGGCATCCTGTAAACCGTTTAACTTGCCTTCTTTGGTGACCAGCTACTTGTGCTTTCCTTCAGCCATGATTCCCGACCCTCCCTAAGTGTTTCATCTTCCCTCCACTCCTTTACTTTCTGTAGTTCACATCCTCATTCAGAATCCAGGCCATCAGATGTGAAAAACAATTCCGTTTCCTAGCTTTCCCCCTGAAGGCATCACTATTTTACTTCCTATTCAGTCACAGAGGGCTCATCATAGCACTGATGCTATATGCATTCTATTATTCTACACTAGTGTTATAAAAATGTATGTTTCATACTGGTGACATATGGGGATTATTGACCACTCATTATATTAATCGGAAGCTAGCACAGAGCAGAGGACTGAGAAAGGTCAGAAATGGCAAAATGGATCTGAAATCACAAGCTAGGATTAAAAAGTGGGCTAACCTGATCTGGGATTTGGGGACTTCATAAGGGTTTATTTGGGTTGGGAAAGGTGAAACTTCTCAAATTACAATTTTTCCATGTACTTGTATATTTGAATTTTTGTGGAGAGGATTCAAAGTTTTCATAAGATTTTGAGAGCAGTTTGATGTGAGACAGTTTAAAAACAATTCAACAGAGGAGATTCCTATGGATTTATAAGAGAATGGCTACCAAAGAGGTGTGCAAGAAACTCTCACCTTTTTCTTTTTCTTTACTACTGGAGAGAGCTGCAGTATATTCTGATTACTTTTATTGGAAAATAGAATTCTTATTCAGGCCCAGGTTTGGGAGGGGGGGAGGGTCTAAAAGCATGACTTATGTACTTTACTAGTTTTTAGCTCTTAATTTTTTTTGAAAATGTGATGTACAGATCAGATACATTTTTATAACTTACAACATCTTGAAAATGTTAGGTATGGTGTAAGTGTATAAGAATTTACAAACTGTGGGGCGTCTGGGTGGTTCGGTCGGTTAAGGGTTTGACTCTTGACTTCGGTTCAGGTCATGATCTCATGGTTTGTGAGTTCAAGCCCCGTACTGGGCTCTGTGCCTGCTCAGGATTCTCTCTTTTTGCCCCCCTCCGCTCGCACCAGTGGACTCTCTCTCTCTTCAATGTAAATAAACACTAAAAAAAAAAAAAAAGAATGTACAAACTGCGAAAATATAAGATACTATCCTGAGCGCAAGGAGGGAGGCAGACGTATACCAACTAAGATTTTTCAACCTTCTATTCCCGTGAACGCTATGATAGGTGCAACGTGCTGTGGAGACACAGGAAAAAATAAAATTACTTCCAAGTTGACGGAGTGGTGAGGGAGTCGTGGAAGATGCGCAATGGACTGTACCCTGAGGGACAGTTCAGGTTTAGGTAGATAAATGGTGGGATGGTGGGAAGGTGTCCTAGGAGGGGAAGAACTCGCACTGTCCCAAGAATTGGCAGTACTGAGTACTCGGATGCAGCTAAAATCTCGTGAAGGTGAGAAGTAAACGGGGGAAGGACAAGGGAGGGGGCAGACAGATGAGGGCTGGCTCGTGAAGGGTCTTGATCTGTACCCAGGAACTTGGACACACTTCCATAAGCAGAAGACATTTGGGCAAGAGAATGACACACTCAGAGTTATGCTTTAATTCTCAGCAAGGAAAGGGTGGTCCGAAAGAAGAGACTGTGGGCAGAAAAAACAGTGAGGAAGCTATTTCTACACTCCTGTCCACAAGTAACAAATCCTCGCCTAGCCTGACAGCATGGAGATGAGAGAAACAGTCAAGAGGTGGAGGCCATGCGATCTTGCCAACTCCACCAAGAGACATTAGATCAAAATAAGAAATATAAAGTTATACTTGGTACGTTTTTTTCACAGAGTGAAGCTCTCTGGAAACATACCTGAAAAACAGATAATCGCACGATTTGTCCCACATATAGTCGTCGTAGCTTACTACCTGGAAATCACACGCTGTACAACGCAGATGGTCACATGCTCTGTTCAGAGAAAAAGAACAGTATGTTAAAGATTACTGGTAAAATTAAATATGGAAATCTGGTAATTATTAGGATAAACCACATATTAGAGATGACTGAGTAAACAACAGGAAAGTAAAGATTAATGTGATTATATCTTATATTTTAACTAAAGGACTGATTATATTCAGGTAAAAATTTTCAGGTTTAATTCCTGCACAAACTGTCAGGTTCAATTTCTGTACAAATCTACATATTTTACTACCATCTTACACACTGATACACACACATACAAACTGTACAGATATAAGACAAACAAAAGGGATGTGCATATCTTTTAGTTCAATGGTTTTCAAATTGTGTCTGAGGGAGATCTTCACTTAGGATAACTTCTTAAAGTTGCTTCCCTCCCTATTGAAAATTCCAGGGGAGCCTCTATCACAGAATTTGCCACATTATATGGAAATAAATCTATCACCCCATAAGCTACTTAAATGCTAAGATAGCATCTTACTTGCTTCTGCTGTCCCACTATTTGGCATTAATGCATTCATCCAGCCACTTAAAAGATATTTACTGAAAGCATATTATGAGCTGGTACTCTGTTCTCATGGAGCTTAGATTCTAATGAGAGAAGAAATAGACAATACTCATAACAACTAAATACAGTATGTTAGAAGGTGAAAAGTGCTTCTGGTTTTTGAAATGATGAGTAAATAAAATTTGGAGTATCAGGAGGGAGTGGATTACAATTTTTAGTGGAGTAGTCTGCACAGGCCTCACTGAAAAGGTACATCTATCTGAGCAGTTTCTTTAAAGGGAGTGAGAGGTGGTTAAGAAAACGGGTTAAAAGAAGGTTATATTTAAGAAGGCAAGAAAAAAAAAGCCTATTTTTCTACTGATGGTAAAGATGCAGAGAAAAGAAAAACACTGATGATACAGGAGAAAGAGGGTAGAATGACTGGAATGACACTTAGCATGTACTAGGTACTTACTGAATATGTGAGTAATTGAAATGTCACACGTTTTTCAAAACTCATAGTACACAGTAAGTTTAGGAGTAAAATGACAATATATGGAAATAGTTATGAACTGCTGCTGCAAACAACTTGATTTGTAGAATGACTGTGATTTACTTTAAAAAAGAAGACATTTCCTCCACTGTTTGAAGTATTTAAAAACTAGAATCAAGGTATGGGATGCCTGAGTGGCTCATCTGGTTAAGCGCTGGACTCCAGCTCAGGTCATGATCCCATGCCTCGTGGGTTGGAGCCCTGTGTAGGGCTCTGTGCTGACAGGAGACTGCAGCTGCTTCAGATTCTGTCTCCCTCTTTCTCTGCCCCTCCCCTGCTCATGCTATGTCTCTCTCTCTCTAAAAAATACATAAACATTAAAAAAAAACTCTAAAAATTAAACATTAAAAAAAACAAAAAACAAACTAGAATCAATGTAGATACACATTTGATCATCTAAAAATTAAAAGGAAATAAAAAGAGGTTTAAGATACCAAAAACAAAATGAAAAGACCAGTGATAGAGTGGAAGAAAATATTTTCAACACATGGCTGAATACTTAACACTATAAAAAGAGTGCTTACAAGTGACAACAAAAAAAACCCCTAGAAAATATTCATTATCTTTAATACAGGCATCACAGTATAGACGGTGGAAACACACTGCCTAGCTTCAAATGTGATTCTACTACTTACAAGCTGTAGCCAAATAACTTAACTTTGTTGTGACTCAGTTTCCCCATCTGTAAAATGGGGGTAATAAGAATACTTCTATACCTCCTAGAATTATTATTAGGACCTAGTGAGTTAATATTGGTAAAGTGCTTATAATAGTGCCTGGGGCAGTGTTTGTTAAATAGTTAAAAGATAACATAATTAAAATTTAAAGCAACCACAAAATAAATGTTTAAATCTAGCACTTTCAGACATTCCTGGTGGGTACGTAAATGGCTATCACCTTTTGGGAAAAATCTTAGCACTATCTTAAAATTATCTCTAGCTGTTGCACCTAGCAATACCATTTTTGGGAACCAATTACATATAGACAAAAACATGAGTATATAAGCATTTATCAAGAATTTTTACTGTCCTGCAGCATTGCTGAAGTGGCAAAAACAGGACAGCACCTGGATACCTATTAAAAAGGGAAAAGACTGAATAACCTTCAATATATTTATACTATGGAATATCAGGTAGCTGGCTGATAAAGAGAATTAAATTTACCTATTGATCTAGAGGGATGTCTAAAGTAAAGTGCACATTTAACCTATGTGGCATGATTCTATTTTTGTAGAAACAATTAAAAAAATTTCCTATATAGGTGTTGTACGTTTGGAAGAACATAGAGAAAAGTCTAGAAGGTTATATACTATGCGGCCAACACTGGCTGCCTCAGGGATAGTGGGAATGGAGGCATTTATACATTTTTAAATTTTGTTTTTATCTCTTAAAATAAGCATTCAAGATGTCTGCAATTAAAAAATAATTTTAAGAAACCCATCATTAGATTTTTTTTCACTTGTTGCTCTCTAAAAATCAGATATGGTAATTTCAAAATTGCAAATATTTTTTGTCCCGAATGTTTTTGAAAACAAAGGCATTTATTTTAAAAATTATTATTAGTCATAAAAAATTAAACACTCAAAATCTATACAAGTTTCATAAACAATTCCATATTTTCTTTCAAACTGTTAACAATTTATAGGGTTGTATTTGTACATATGGAAATTTAACACAATTACATTCGTACGTATTTGAACTTGGATTTTGAACGTACAAATCAGGAAATGCAAAATGATGATTCCCAAAGCTGCCGTAACTTGCTTTCTTATGCATATGTAGTTTATTACATGATTGCACAGAGTGTTAACTTTAATGCCTTAATACATATGCGCAATTTGGCTAAATTATTGCTGTTGTGGGAACTATAATTTAGAATCTCCTGACATGTTGTATGTGTAAAATCTCAACCATAATGTTAAATACAGCTTTTTAATTTAATTTAAAATTTAGTAGTTTATTCAAATCTATTCACACTACCACATTTTCCTACAAACACTGCCCTGCGAGAAAAATAAAACTAACTTGCAGCTAAGAAATCATTCTGCTGCTACGATTCACTCTATTAGATCATAATTAGTAGCAGCCTATGAAATAATCCAGTCTTAAGAGTAGTTTAAAAAACAGGAGAGTAAAATTCGATCTGGCTAGAAAATAACTCCTTGGTTTTATCTGTACTTTACTAATGCCACCATGCTTCCTGCTACGACCACCAACTAGGTAAAAGACTCAAATCTTTACATTCTAAATTCAGTCAGCATTACTCCCAAACTAGAGCTTTAGCTAGAAATCAGACAAATAAAACACATGGAGAATTTGACTCGATTTCCTTTATGTCCTTGGCATGTAAATAAGTGCTTATTTTCAGGGCTAAAATATATTTCTCTCTCATAACTATGTACATATTAGAGCACATCTAAAAAAAAAAAAAGGCATGATTCTAATGAAAGATAAACTGTCAGGATTCTTCCTCCAAAATGTGGAGGGAACACAAATATGAAGTTGTCACCACTAGCCTTGTTCTTTTGTTCAGCTAATAAGTATAATCTTTACCATTTTAAAGATGTTCATGATGGGAATCCCCAAAATACAGTCCAATGTAGTCTTCTGCCTAGACTCTGGTTCTCAGTTAAATCCCGTCAGATCTACACAGTGGACTAGGAAGTCTTGCTGTTTGGACAGTTGGAAAATGACAGTCACAGCATTAGGAAAAACATCTAAGATTCATCCATTTTGCATATATTACATGGCCTTCTGCAAACTGGTATACTAGAAAGTATCATAGACCAGGAACACGTTACATATTTGAGTCCTTTCTTTGTAATGATTTTTGTGACCTTGGCAAGGCACATTACTTGGGGTGTCATTCTTGACAACGTTCTCTCTTACTTCCCGTAGCCATTTAAACACTGAGTTCATCAATGCTAGATTCTAACTAGCGCAGAGGTGACACTTTTCCCTACAGCTACTGTCACCACTCAGGTTACAGCTACCATCGTTGTGTCTTTCCTGGAGCACCATACCTACTACCTGCTGACTGGTCTCCCTGTGTCCTTGCCAGTCGTGTCCCTCCAACTTCCAATCCATGTTCTATTCAGCAGCCAAAATGACTTTCTTTAGAGACACAAATATTATTGTCACTCCATCCGCTAAAAACAAAATCTAGTCTCTTCCTCCCCTGACAAATAAAACAATTAATGGCTTCCACTGCATATATTCACATACATTTTCTAAAACCCCCCAGAGGACCACAGGACCCCAAACAAAATGTCCCTCAACGACCTCGCCAGCCCCATCAAGAGCCATTCTTTCCCCGACTTGCTATGCTCCATCTCACCTGGCTGCCCTCTGCTACTCCAAACCTCTTTCCCAGCTCAGGGGTCATCTGACACCATGTGCCCTTGGGCTCTAAGGGTCTCTTCTCTTTGCTAACTCTTTTTTCCTACTGTAGTCTGATTAAATGTTATTTGCTTAGGGAAGTATTCTCTCGCCCTTCCTATCAACTGGGTGCTAATATCTATGCTTATAGTAGCCTGCACTTTCCCTTCAAATTATGTATTATATGGAAATTAAATACTTACTTGTGGAATTATCTATTTAAAGTCTCTCTCCTTATCTAGACTGAAAACTCACAGAGAAGTGTCCATGTATTTATCACTTATAGCCTAGGACCTAGCAAACAAGTTGTTAATATGTGTTCAATGAATTTGACACCAGTGTCTCAATTTCCTTATTTATAAAATGGGGCTAAAAAGTCTTGCTCTATTTGTATCCTGATTTTTTTTCCTGTGGAGTTGAACCAATAAGCATATTTTAAAAAGTGCTCTGGACAGCATAAATTACTCCACACATAAAATGTTTTACATACACATGAACAGGTATATGCTTAACTTCCTGTGGGTATAGATCTCTGTTATGAAGACGTTGGTAGATGAGGGTATCTTTGTAATGGTGAGGAAGAAAAGATCCATGAATGTAAGCATTTATCTATGCATATATATGCTAACAGTATGTGTTTTTTCCCTTTGTAGCTATGCAGAAAGTAAGAAGGGGTTTGATGGATGCATCATGCACAGACCCATGCATGCTTTATGGGTCAATATTATGTGATAGTATCCTCCAGGTATAAAAATAGGCTGTTCTTCTGTCTACTTAAATTCCATCTAGAGTAAGACTCTTCTGTGGTAGAACTGAAGTACACATGAAAAATACTATATAAAAGAACATCTTCATGAAACATTTACTCTTTAGAAGTAAACCAGAATGTATTATCTTAAAGACCATTTTTAAAATCAGAAGATACCTGTAAGTAAACACTGATACATACTTTCTGAGACAAAATGGGAAAGTAGTGGGCGAATAAAGGATTCCTGGTGCTGAGGTATAACATAATGAGAAAGCAGCACTGGCAGATGAGAAAGACCCACAAATATTTGCTAACTATTACTCAAACTATCTCAGCCATCTTTTGCACCATCGGCATACTCTAATGTACCATTCCTTTTTAATCCTCACAATATCACCATGGGCTATGTTCCATTTTTACAGGTGAGGAAAATGAAGTTTTAGAAGACAGATCCCTTCTCTCAAGGCTTCCCATCTTGCAAGTGGTACAGTGAAGGAGCTGAACTTCTGCATTCTGCCATCAAAGCCCTTTCTCTTCATGTTTTGGCGGTGGGGGGTAGGGTCGTTATTTGCTTCTTTACCCGTTCCTCTCCTGGTTAGGGTTGTATGTATGTATGTATATGTGCATGTATTTATTATTCTTGGTATCTAGGATTTAGCAAAGGGCCTAGGACACACTGGGCATTTAATGAATATCATACAAAGAAAAGAAAAAAGCTCAAATAGAATGAGAAAATAAAATTGTAGATAAGCAGGGAAGACAGCGAGGACACACATTAGAAAGGATGGTCATTCTAGAAAGGGAATAAATGTAAAAAATACTCAGAGGCAGAAAAATATAAATGGAAAGTAGAGGATAACAAATGTTCTGGTGGAAGTGAAGTATCTGACCTGGGCTTTCACTGGAGGTGAAGGGACCCAGAAAGAACCCAATTTGGCAAAGAAAATAATGACTCTAGAGTTCATGTGAGACCAATGGTAGCTTTCATTTTCCCTCTGGACAGGGGAGATGTGCTCAAAAGATCATCCTTCATGTGCGATGTGGGCGAAGCTAGAGAAGAAGGAATGGGTGGTCACTGGGAAACGGCTGCAGTTCCTAGGTGACCCGAGAGAAGCCGGGGTTGGAGGCGGTGTGGTCTGGAAGCACAGAGACAAGTCCCAGTGACTCCACACAGGTGAGGCAGGATTCCCAGCAAGCACTGTGCTCTTCCGTGAGGGCCAGCTTGTGTTTCTACTTCTTTGTATAGAAGGCCCTTATCACACAATGATTCAAGTGCTATCAATTGTTATTTACAGCCCTTACAGCAGGCAGCACCCCGGGTGACTTCTAGTAGCCCCTCTGAGCCCATCTGCTGCCTGGTGTCCTCAGTACAGGGTTCCCCAGACTCCCAACCTCCCTTCGGTCCCATGGCCTTTCTTTCTAGGCTTTTTAGGTTTTAGGCCAGCAACACTACAAATCCTCCTACAATGACTTTTTAGATCCCACTTCTATTATTCAATATAACCATTATTCCTTCTAAAACGTTGTCAACATGTAATTATATGTCTCATTCTTTTCTTTCTTAAAAAATTCACAGAAAGTAACTAAGTGGTTTAGAAATGACTAGGCAAAATATAATAATCTAGGCAAACAGGCCTCTGCAAAAATAGAATCAACAGTATCAGGACAACAGAAAGATACACTAAACCAATTTGTGTTCCCACATGATGATAATGATAATGCACTATGCTAGCAGTACGGGGTGGGTGGTACCAGGACCATAAAATTGTCCTGAAAGAAGTAATGAATGAAACAGCGGGTGTAAGGGGTGGGGAAGAGACAAAGAAAGAAGGGTTTCTGCTTTTTAAGTATGTAAAATCAAGGGACCAAGCTTGAGGACTTTCTGGGTACCCAAGACCCAGCTTTCTCATGCTGTTTGGCCAGGACAGTGGGTAAGACATCATGTAGCTGCATGGCCACATTGCTTTGCCTGTCTTATCCACTGGCTTCTACTGCCTAGAAGGCAAAAATGGCAAGGTAGACGTTCTCTTGGTGTCCTTTGGAAAGCAGACTTGGATTGGAGTGAACCAGGCACTTCAAGTAGGGCTTAGAAATGGGCATCAACACAATGAACACCACACCCAGCATCACAGCTTTCAACAGATATCACCCAGAATAACAAACATTTCAGTAGTGTTCTTAGCCTGGCTAATAAAATACACCTCTCATCACGAAACAGATGGACGGCAAGATGATAAGAACTACATTTTAATGACAAGGTATCAACTGGGAAAAACCTAGTGAAGAAAGAGAATCTATTTCTGACCTCTTACCTCTGTGAAGTATTTGTTCCAATTCCACATGGAGTGGTGCTTCCGCCAAAGTACACCGGGCTGCAACTAGACATGCTCAATAGATGGGAGAAAAAATTATAACAAAAACATATGAGAAGTTAATTTGGCCTCGTTGACTCTATATATTTGTAATCAAATAGTATATTTTCCTGAGCAGGCTAATTCTTTTCAAAGAAGAGATATTTATTCCAGGATCACTGCATTATTGGATATAACCCGTACATTCAGGAACACTCAAGGAGTTAAAATGAGTCACAGAAAAATGTGTTTGCCAAATAATATAACGGACAAAGTAAACACTGAAGAATATAACAGAACATTAATTTTGAGGTACTGTTCACACTTATTTTTTTTCATGTGGCAGAAAATTATTTACAATAGCAATAATCTTCCATTCAAGTTCTTTTAAACCGAGGGATCACAGACAATAAGAACAGGGAAGATATTGTGATTGGTCTTTCTTTTGAAAACCAACCAGTGCTTTGTTGTTCAATGTCACTGCTGTTTAAATGGTAACAAAATCTACTAGACTATGCTCATAGTGTTTGCTCACTAGTGTGTAGAATTCACTAAAGCAATCTCAACTTACCTTTTACAAAGGCCTTGAATGGGAGCTCTGACAGATGTGTTACCTGAAGATTTAGATTTTAATTTCTGTTAAAAAAACAAAACAATAAAAGGCCAAGGGTAACTTGGAGAATTCTAACATAAAAACTAATATTCTTTATTTTACAGCAAGAGTATTTTTTAAATGACTTAAATAAAAATTTTGTATAATTTTAAAGTTACTGAAATAAAAACAATGATCAAAACCTTTTAAAGGCAAAAGGGAAGTAGACGTCCCTAAGGAATTGGTAAATTACTCGGCTAACTTCTAGTCTAGAAAATTGATATATGGCTATTATTAGCATGCTAAGATTTAGAGTCACTTTATAACTCTTCAGTTAATACTAAGTTCAATGATTTAATATGAAGGACCTGCTATTTAAAACTTTATCCTGGAAAAATTCAATTGAGGAGGAAAAAAACCTCAAGACTCATTTTTAAAGGCTGTGAATGGTACTCACCTGAACTGAAAATAAACTAACCAAACTCCTGGGTAACTTCAGAAATATTAATTTTGATCATATGGAACAGTACCAACCAATAGACATTCAAGGAAATTGTACAACTACCTAGTCACAACCATACGGTAGTTCCTGTATAGTTACATAACATCATCATCATTAGCAAGCATTTATTAAGTGTTAACTGGTATATGGTACCAAACAACATAAACCAACCACATACTAGGACCACCGCCAAGGAAAGGAAGTAAGATGGAGTAAATGCAATTTAAACTATGCAGAGACATGCCTTCATTTTACCTAGCAGGCGAGGAAATTTAATGGAGGCAAAAATATTTCATTTCACTATTTCTTTTTTATTGTTAGAACTGGAAAAATTTTTGATGCATGTCTAAAAGATAACAAAGTGGGGGCGCCTGGGTGGCTTAGTCGGTTGAGCGTCCGACTTTCGCTTAGGTCATGATCTCACGGTTCGTGGGTTCGAGCCCCGCGTTGGGCTCTGTGCTGACAGCTCAGAGCCTGGAGCCTATTTCGGAGTCTGTGTCTCCCTCTCTCTCTGACCCTCCCCTGCTCACGCTGTCTCTCTCTCCTAGAAATAAATAAAAATATTAAAAAAAAAAAAGATAACAAAGTGGATGGGTCTTTTTTTTTTTAAATTTGAGGGAACATGTTTCATGTACCATCCAGGCTCGCACCACAGTGGGATTTGTTGTTCTTAGGCTTTCTTGTGTGGGTCTGAGAGCAGTTCAGAAACTCAACAGAATGAGTGAGCAATGGGGGAGGAAGCAGTATTCTCTTGAGGACGAGCTGGTTTCTAAATACAAGGTGGGCATGGACACCTCTTCAAAGACACCTCTCTTCCTCACCCAATCTATGTTTTACATAGATCTGCTCTACTCTAGAAGTCTACTTAGATTGTTTTTTCCTTCACGATCTGGAGAAATGGATATAATAATTAAAAAAAGGGAGCATCAGAAAAAGTGCGAAGTTTACCTACCCATCATTGTAGGAATTATTTCAATTTTGTATCTTAAAGCCAAAGCAGAGAAGTATTTCCTTCTCTTTCTGGACTGTCTTGAACTAAAGAGATAGTGCCTCACATACAGATACATGTCCTATAGTACTTAGTAATGAATTGTTCAGATGATTCATGAATAATAAGAACATCATATGGTTTTTGTCAACTATTGATTAAATCAACATTACTATTTGGCAATTATGACACATTGTTTGCAGAGTACACATCATTCTTACTATGTTGATATGTTAACCAGCTAGGTCATCAGCTTAGTAATTTACTATCTGCTTATGATGCAAAAATGTTAAATTCAGAGAAATAAAGTTGTTAAGCTCTATACTAGTCATTTGATTTTTAGCCTGGCTACCCAAAATAAAAGTGGCTCTTATCTGTATCCTTACTACCACCACTGCCTAGTGACTTTTAGTCTACTATCTTGCTTTAATCTTCCCCCTTAAAAAAAACCTCTTTGAGGGGCACCTGGGTGGCTCGGTTGAAAGACTGACTTCGGTTCAGGTCATAATCTCACAGTCTGTGAGTTTGAGCCCTGCGTTAGGCTCTGTGTTGACAGCTCAGCACCTAAAACCTGCTTCAGATTCTGTGTCTCCCTCTTTCTGCTTTCTTCAGCTCACACTCTGCCTCTCTCCCTTTTTAAAAAATAAACATTAAAAAAATTTAAAAAATCCTTTGATGTATTTATATATACATATTTATTTGATATGTTTGAGAGAGAGAGACAGAGAGAGAGAGGATCAGAAGTGGACTATGTGCTTGATAGCAGAAAGCCTGATGCAGGGCTTGAACTTGTGAACTGTGAGATCATAACCTTAGGTGAAATGAGGAGTTGGATGCTGAACTGAGCCACCCAAGTGCCCCTGGTATTATATTTGTTTCTTAGATTGTTTTTTCCTTTGTGGTCTCTGTGATTTAGACTTCCATTTGGTCTCCTTCTTTTAAATTTCATAAATATATTTTCACCAAACTGGTAAAAATTAATGTATACAGATTCTCATCCATTGCTGGCCAGAAGAATAAAAATGGTATAGTCACTTTGGAAAACATTTTGGCAATGGGTAGAAAAGTTGAAAATAAGCACACCTTAAGACCTAGCATTCCTCCCTTAGGTTTGTACATTCTAGAGAAACTCTTGTACGTGGATAAAAGAAGCCATGCAAAGACTATCAGAAGAAGCAATGTTTCTAAAAGCAACAACTGGGTACAATCTAAAAGTCTATTACCAGAGAAGTGGATAAACAAACTGTGGCAGGATTACATAATGGACTATTGTGCATCAGTTAAAATGGTTTAGGATTATATAAGTATGTAATTAAAATATAAAAGTATGGATGGAAAGGATAGGTTACCTCTGGGAAGGAAGGCAGTAGAGGAGGATTTGGAGTTATTAAACTATATCTGCAATTTTTTTTCTTAAAAAAATCCAGAGAAGCAAATATGACAAAATATTAAGATATGTTCACTATGAGTGGTAAATATATAGCTGGCTGTAATAGTATTTTATGAGCTTTTTATAAAGTGCTTTACAAAAGCACTTAAACATTGAAATACAATGTACTGATTGGTTCATGGGATAACAGCAATGTCATTATATCTGAGACATTAAGCAAATTTCTATAATTAAAGTTGTTTTCAGTCTTTTATTTTTATTTTATTTTGAGAGAGAGAGAGAGAGAGAGAGAGAGAGAGAGAGAGGGAGCACCAATGGGTGCAGGAGAGGGGCAAAGGGAGAGGGACAGACAATCTTCAGTAGGCTCCACACGGGGCTCATTCCCACAACCCTGGATCATGAGCTGAGCAGAAATCAAGGGTATGATGCCTAGGTACCTCTGTTTTCAGTCTTTTAGAAAAATATTCTTAGAGCATACAAATGTAGGTAAGTAACCAATTTCATCTGTGAGCTGACTTCCGTTCTAACAGCTTTTCTAGTCTCATTCTTGTTGAGAAATGAACAGCAAAACACATACTGAGAGTTTTTAATATTTTATTTCTTCTATAACTCTAAGTAGAATAATTCCTTTAAAACAATTTTATTTCTCAGAATTCAAAGGACAAGATATCTGTGCATTCTACACATTTACAGACTATTCTAAACATGTTGAAATAACGAGAGAATTACTGCACATTTATAATACTTGACTTACAAAAGGTTTTTTGTCAAAGTTGGGCTCTTCAAATATTTCATTCATAAGACTATCAAGATCATCTTCTTTCACAAATGTTTCTGTTGATCTGAAAACAAAACAGTTGAAGCTTAAGTGCAGATAAAGTCAGCCAGTGTCAGAAGAATTCTGTCTAACTGGTTTATTATTAGAGTTGGTAACAGAAGGATAAATGTGATGTTAATTTTTTTCCTTCTATAGGCAAAGTTGAAGATTGTGGACACAGAGATGCAGTTTATCAGGTACAAATTCACATATGTACTTTACTATTTCACACCTAAAATAAGATACTTAAAGCTTTGCATTATATTCAAGAGAAAGCTGTGCATGTATCTTTCTAAATTACATCAACCACTTATTTAAAGAACACAAAATATGTACAGTTACAAGTAGAACCTGAGAATTATAAACAAAGATACTTTTAATTAGTTTTTCTATTTGTTTCCCTAAGAGTTTCATTGTAAGTCAAATAACCATATCTCTTTACTACAGGAGCTGAATGTTATATAATCAAATGATCTTATCTCTCTCTCTCTATCTATAAAGAGCATTCGCTTGACAGAATATATCAATTACCTTTCTACTTTGTGCAGGGAAAGCCATCACAGGATTATTGATATGAACCATTACTGCACAAAACTCTATTTAATAGCTAACATTTACTGAATACTTACTACATAGATGAAGAAGCAGGGACTGAGAGATTCAGAAACTTACCCAAGGTCATACAACTAGTGGGAAGAGAGGTTTGGAATTCAGTCTAGGGCAGTCTGCACACCTAATGCTAGACAAGATGAATTTTTTTAGAGTTTATATGTTATATATACTCTACAGCAACTTCATAATTTCATTAGACCATTAAAGTATATATTTTAGAAGATAAGTTTAGTTAGACTCTGACTTCAGAAATGTATTTACTCTGAAAATTCTATTTTGTTGTTGTTTATTTTTTTATTTTAGAGAAAGAATCTTAAGCAGGCTTCCCACTCAGTGCAGAGCCTGATGTGGGGCTCCATCACATGACCTTGGGATCATGACCTGAGCCAAAATCAAGAGTTGGAGTTCAACTAGCTGAGCTACCCAAGTGCTCCTGAAAATTCTTAACTTCAGGATTATAGTCCTTTGTTACTGCCTGGAATAATTAACCCAATGTAAGAAAATCCAGACACTGCTGCTTAATACTGAATGTCTGATTCCATCTATTTCCAGGCTTTGCCTCTTAAGTTGCTCCCTCTCTTTTATCCTTAAAGTCTTCCACTAGCCACTGGCTTGTTCTCTTGACTTACAAGTATGCGCAAGACTCAAAAAAATTCTTGAGCTGCCATCCTCTTACTCACTACTGAAGTCTATATCCTCTATTTCTACTCCCTCACAAATATACTGGATGGTGATCTGAGTGAAGGTTTCTCAACCACGGAGCTACTGACATTTGGTACCACATTATTCTTCGGTGTGTGTGTGTGTGTTTGGTGGTAGAAGCAGGGCGGTTGTGCTCTGCAGGATGTTTTACAGCATCCTAACTTCTATCCACTAGATGCCAGTAGCATACACCTTCCCGGCCGTGACAGTTAAAAATGTCATGACATTGCCAAATGGCCCTTGAATGGTAAATCATCACTGGCTGAGAACTACTGACCTAGTTTAAACTATTTAACCTCTCTGAACCTCAGATATTTTGCTTGTAAAAGTGAGATCTAGACAACTATTTAAGACTTTTTCCAGGTGTAATATACTATCTCTGTCCTCTACATCCCTCAACTATAGTGAAACTGTTCTCTCAAATGTCAATACTGTCTACATCACTAACTTCAATGGATGCTTTCAGTTCCAATCCTCTTTTAATCTTTCAGAAATACTCAAGGCTGTGAGACACAAATTCCTTCAATTTCTTTTATGACAGCAGGTTGCTAAGTTGTTCTCCTGAAACTCTCTCCTCCTTTAGTTTTTAGGGTATTCACAATTTCAAAAATCAGATGCACTTAAACTTTATGAACCCAATGAATGCTATTAGGGATCCACACTTATGTAAGATTCTAGTCTGTTATGCCATTTCATGATGCATACAATTGCCTATGCTTTACTATAGAAATGAAGGAAAGAAAAAAAAGAATGCTATTATTTCAGTGAGAACTCATACAAATTTTAACGGACCCTAGAATACTTTTTTTTTTTGTCTTTTGATGCTGTAATACAATAATCTTTTTTTTTAGTTCATTTATTTATTTTTTTAGTAATCTCTATACCCAACGTGGGGCTCAAACTCATGACCCCAACATCAAGAGATGCATGCTCGCCCAACTGAGCCAGCCAGGCATTCCTAAAATACAATAATCTTTATCAAAGGTTCATAAACACTTATTGGTTCCCCCCAACTTAGCTTCTTATATTCTAATTTTGATTAAAGATACAGTTTTTGTCAAAAGTAAAAGGTATACTCTAATATATATTATATATATAAAAATAATATACTCTGTATATATATATATATTATATATATATACATACAGCTGAGACCCACAATTAAATGTAAATGGTATATATAAAAGCTTAAATCTAGATGTATAGTATCCTGGTAGACCTGGAAATATGACCTTGGGCAAGTAACTTTTACTTAAGTTTTAGTTTGGTCAGTGAAATGGGGATAATAATATTATTCACCTTATAGGGTTGTGGAGATTAAATGATATAACACATACAAAGCACTCAGCATATAGAAATGACTCAATAAATGTTGGCTATTATTATAGCTATCATCTAGGAGGTTATGATATCTGTAAATATTCCCATCTGTATCATCCTGAACCATTCAGTCCTATTGCAGTTCAATCCACAGTTTTTTAATTTTTTTTAACTAACCATGTCCTTCTCTTTATCATTTTGAATACTTCAACAAATTGTATAGGTTTTGACCTCTTATGTAAGCAGTTTTTCCTGGTGTCCAGATGTAGCATGGTCATTTATTTTATTATTTGTAGAGCTATCATTTTAAGAGACAATTTCAGTATTTTAACTCTTATAAGGAAAAAGATACTGGCTACATTGCTATACAATTGGCAGGTAGTCTCCTGTTAATCAATTCATAATATAAATAGGTTCCTAATTTTTAATATCAGTTTTGGCTCATGATAAAATTTTAATGTTTGATCTTATATAACAGGTAGGGACTGTATTTGGTGTTAGGTTTAGGGCCTTTGCTGCTATTTTTTTTTTTTTTTTTTGGCATAATTCACCTTAACAAGTACATCACCAAATGAAAAGTTTTAACACTCAAATAACAGCAGTACTGGTTTGCTACAGCTTTTGTAAAAGTATTACTTAAAAATCTGATGTAGTAAGGTGGGATGGGATGCCAGAAACATTTTGGATGGACTTTAGTAATGTAAGAACAGGCTATGGAGAAAGGCATAAAAGGACCTCTTCTTGAAGAGGATACACCTTGGGAGCCCTTTCCATTTTGAGCAGCTTGCTCCAAGGCATCCTACCAGTCTGCATGCTAGCTCTCCTAAGATGAAGGCTTTCGAAGGCTCCGATAAATTCTCTCCATTCCCCACAGGAATGAATAAAAAGAACCAAAGAAATTGCAAAATACAAAATAACATTGCTATGGGATGGGGATGGTGGATGTACTGGGAATGAGTACAGAAGACCTCCAGCAAACCAGGCACTAATAGAGAAATTAATGAGTAATACTTGCATAACCAGTCCAATAAGCATTAGCCCCTTCAAAGTAGTCATTTTAGTTGGCTCTACATTTGTTTTTTAGAATGCTGCCCAATACTCAGCTAATTTTTAGAATTTGTTTCTGAACTTTAGAATCTTTTCAATAATTTTAACTTCTGAGGGTCAATTTTTATAAACAAATGTCACTAGAGGTTAGGCTGGATAATTTGGGTACCAATGTTGGGTAAACACCTCTGGGAAATCATGCACGTGTACATCAAGACCAAACAAAACCAAACTACAGGTGCAGCCATAAATTGGCAGGAATGGTTTTCTTGAGTTGTTCCAAAGCTGCCTCTGTGTAATTTCACAAACATTTCTAACAGAGTAACTACAGAGGCTCTCAAGTCATCACTTTGAAGGGCAATCAATATTCATTCTGATGCACAAATTTTGACTTTTTGGGATGGAGGAAAAAATGAGAGGAAAAAGGAAGCCTTATTATTTTATGATTAATCAGAATCAAAAGATGGACAAATTTGAAAGGTAGTTTTTAGGATCAAAACACAGAATACTTAAGAAATCTGAAATTTCAATTTGGATGCCTGAGATTCCCTGAGACACTTACCTAGGGGTCACGGGGAAAGAAGGTAGGTGGCTGTACGAACACTGTCTTCACAATAATTAACGACTCGTCATAAATCTAATCTTACTCTATTCTCTTGAGTTAAAAAAAATAGCTAATTATGACACAGAATAGAACGGAATCGTTTTCTCGAACAAATGGCCCAAAGGTTATTCTGCCTGGCGAATTGGATCATAGGCTGAGGTTCTCCGTGCGAACGAACCTTACCGGGCGATGAGAACACATGCTAAGGCAGACAGAGACCCAGGTCCCAGGCCCTCTAGGGCGGGGCTCAGGAGAGGGCCCCTAAGCGGCACCTCCCTCTCCCCGGATCCATTTGGCCCCTGAGACTCTGGGTGAAAGAGACTGGGTGAGGGCTCTCAGGGACGGATCACTGGGCCTTGTAAAGAAATGCCCAAATCCTCCCGGACAGGGAGTTGAGGTGTGTGCTGCCCTAGAAGCGGGAAGCTGAGGATCTGGGCCCGACTAGGGAGAGGAGCTGCCGATCCTGGGCAGCGGGCGGCTTTAGGGCGTGAAGCAGGCTTTACCAGGACAGCAAACCCCTCCCGCCTGTTAACCTGAGATTCTCTTTCGCTTCGGCTCGGTTCCGGTCGTTGCTGAGGATGCCGCCGCCGCCGCCGCCGCAGCCTCTGGGCCGCTCGACCATGCCCAGTCTGAGTGGGTCTGGTCTGCAAAACTTGGACTCGACCTCATCCAAGAGCTCGTCCAGGTCCTTCGCCATCTTGAATCGTTACGTCGTTCCCCCCTTTCTGGTCGCGACAGCGTCGAGTGGTTTCCAGGGGCAACGCTGGGCTCTACCGTACGCGCTCTCGCAGCTGCCACTCCCGCGCATGCGCTCGTCATCCTTAGGCAGCCCCCGCGTCCGCGGGGCCCTGACGCTGACGTGCTCGCGCAAAGGGACGCAGTGGGTCCGCGAGTTCTGGCGGAGCCGGGCAACCGGTGCGGCCGGAGGTCCGAGCTGTACGTTTTTTGCGCGACCTCTTGACGCTTTGCCTTTCTTCGTTCCATGTTGGCGTGTTTTGTCCCGTCTCCCCCTCCTGGGCCCAGGTTGTAACCACAATCACACGACACCCTAGTTCCTTCATGCGCTCCTTTTACGGTCCCACTGGGGTCCCCGCTGTATTCCAAATGTTCATAAATTTCTTAAATAATCCGCGGAAAAAACTGAGAAGTTCCCAAACGAAAACAAGTATCGGCAGCAAAAAAAAGCTTATCTTCCCGTAGTCGGCAGGATTCGAACCTGCGCGGGGAGACCCCAATGGATTTCTAGTCCATCGCCTTAACCACTCGGCCACGACTACTGCTGCTGTTAATTTTGGCAGTGAGATCTATGTAGACTCTTCACACGAGTGTGTACAGTGTAACAGGTATGTTTGGAGCCGGGAGAAAAACAATTCAAGGCTGTTCTATCAGATAACAACGTATTTGAGTATTATGGTCCTAATTTATCTTTCTGAGGGACTCTTAGAGCATATTCCGTCCAACTATTTTCTATCAGAAAAAACTGAGGTCTAGTCCGTTTTCTAAAGTTAGAGGCAGAAAACAGGAGAGAGCGATGAAAGCCTGCCACTAACTTACGCTTGCTTTCTCAGTAATGGAGCCGTTTCCAGGACGGAATCTGGAACCTAGGGGCTCTGGCCGGCTCTAGGTTTCCTTGTCTGGCTCCCAATTCCATCCCTGCAGCTCTCTCGGACAAATAGCTCCTAGGAGTCTCTTTTTATGCACAAGACATTAAAATGCTATTATTACTCACCGGTTTAAATTCACTACGCAGGATCAGACTGTGCCCTAAACTTTGAAGAGTGTAATGCGTGCTACATATGTAAGGTGTTGTCATTTAATGGTATTCCTGTAAATACTACCCACAGTGTAACCCTTAGAATCTCTGAAAGTAGTTTGATTCAGGTGATTTAGTAGCTTCATTTATTTGGTTTGCTGTTTGTTAAAAATGCCTTCAATGTCCCTGAGGAGCAAAGTGCAGTGGTGTACTGGCGCCAAAGGTACCTGCTCACTAGAGCCCATCTTTATATTTTTATGAATTTTGGGAGCCAATTGTTAAATGCAACCATCAATTAGAACTAAATTATGTAAGCTTACAATTAAAATAATGACACTAAAACAACATAGTTTCAGAATTCAACATAGTCTAGTTATTTCACCACATTTTATTATAATTTATGCTGTTCAGATTAGTTATGTCTGTTGTGTCTAAAATATTATACAGTAGTTGTTAGTGTGAATCTCATTCAGGGATATCACTTTGGGTAGTTTGAAATCAGCCTTCATGGGTGTAATGACACCAGGGAAATTGCAAATGCTATAAAACATGGCTTTTTCTCCATAAGAGCTGATTGTCAAGCATCTACCAGCAACCACTAATGTTACCGTCAGAGCAACCTTGAATATTCCCAGCAAGGCAACACTCCTCTTACACGTAGGGCTGCTCTGCTTATTCTTCCTGCCGCTTTGTTTTAGCCCTAAGAATCCTGACATACTGTCTGATTTCCTCCTCAGTTCTTTGAATTTTTTTTTAGCCCCCCCCCCCCCCCCCAGTTGCCTTGCTGGGTGATTGTACTTGGAAATGGCCTCCCGCAGAAAGATAGGAATAAGCCATTTGATATTGAAGTTGCCCTTGCAACATGGGTTCCACGGGGAGTAATGCACAGTCGCCATCCAGTTTAATAGGCTTAAATTAGTAACTTGATTTTTCTCTAGAAATGGTGAAATCTGAGGTGGTATGGCCAATAGTTGAAAGAACCTATTGGCATGAGGAAGATTTGCTTGAAGGACCGTGAAATGTTAAAAGTGGAAATGCTTGTAGTTGCGTGTTTTGTTTGTTATGAATGTTAGAAAAATTTGGAGCCTGTTTCCATCTTCTTCCACTCCCACCCTCATTTTAATAAAATACCACATATGGATAGATCGTCCAGAGACTGGTGCTTTCAGAATTTTGCTTAAAGTTCATTCAGCTCTCCATTGGGTCTCTTGACTTTAGTCATGTTGTCTTTCTGATTTGCCTTAGAGAAAAGTTCAGTGTCTACAGCGAGAAATGACACATGTCACATACGTGTGTGTCTATGTGATAAATTGTAAATCATAGAGAGTAGATTATTAAACATCTCTAGGTGTCAGGAGTGATACCAGGTGTGCTTCAGTGGACTGTAAACAATGGAAGTGGATGTACATGATGAATGTTTACGTAGCTTTAGAAGATGCTACATTCATGCAAATCGTATTAGGTTAAGAAAAAACTATTATATATATTTTTTCATTCTCTTTTTATTTTCCAAAGTGAGAAGTTTTATTTATTTATTATCTCTATACTTGTTGATATGTGTAGACAGTGGCTTGTCCCCTAAGTCTTTCCCAGTTTTGGACAGTATGTGTAGTATCAGATGTGTCATAAGGGAGAAGAGCGAAGTGTCTTCAGATGATACAATTATTAAACATGGTAAAAGGAGCAGGCAGGCTGTGTATTATTACATTACTTAGTATTCCAAGGAAGTATTGTAGGAAAAAGGTGTCCAAAATAAGGAAACGAATCCCTTTTGGCTTTTCCAAGTAACTGAGGAAAGCTCTGAGCCTGCCTTCTTGCTAGCACCATTCGAAATGAGTTAGGGGTGGCGGTACAGCTGGTTCTGTGGTCCCACACAGCTCCAGGCCAACCTCTTCAGTTACAAGGTGTTTTATAATCCTCCTGGCTATTCACATAATGAATTGCAAGGCCTCTTTAAATTCCCATGTACTTGGGTTTAATTTTCCCAGCCCTGCTTTTCACCCACATACCCCAGACCTTCTAAATGAACATCCAGTGCTTCCCTGGGGACAGTGGTGCCAGGGGACATCCTCCCAGAATGATTGCCAGTCCCCCCCCAACCCCCCCAGCCCCCACCTCCTCCAGCAGCTGATGCTGTGGAAGAAACAAAACAGCACTGAGGCAGCTCCAGTTCTTTTAAGTGGTCCCTGAGTTAGGCCTCGATGTCGTGTAGGTAAATTCAGTCCAGAACATGCAGAATCTTTATTGGAATTTGCGCATTCAACTCTCACAGCTGTGGAGAGTTTAGGCTAATCACAACCCTCACTGGGATACTATCATCTTCATAATTTGAAAAAGGATCAGGAGCCTGCAGGCTTGGAACATCTTGAGAAAACTCTGGCCCCCAAATACATCATCACACGTGGGGGACACCACTTGCAGCATCATCGCAGAGCGCTTAAGAATGTTGAAATCAAGTATTTCTCTGGCATGATTTCAAATGGCCTGAGAAATCTGAGAACTGCCTTTTTTTTTTCTTTAAATCTTTTTTTACTGCAAAACAGATTCTTTCCTCTTCCATCAACCCTGTTGCTGTCAATGTGTCCGATGTTAGGTGCCAGAAATGAGCATAGCCTTTTAATGATAACAATGCCAAGGTTAACATGGCCGCCAGGGGCTCTCTCAGAAATCTGTTAGGGTGTATTTCGATCCACAGACACGTTCCGAAGGCGTGCACCTCCTTCGTCTTTCCAGTCTCAGTACATTTCTCTTCAGCGGCCTGGATAAAACTTGTCACTTTTTGCCAGAACTTCTCATGCTTGGGGGCCCCTTGGACACTATTTTTCATTGACCCCATGTGTCCATATGGCAGAACTAGGTTCAAAGTTGGTATTTAGGAAGCAGCCTCTGACAGCACAGAAGCCTAGTGAACTATGGTCATTTGTTCAAAAGGCCCGTATTCACAGATGTGCTTTAAGAGTGTAATACAATTTTTGACCCCGCCCAAATAGATATTTTATCACCCTCCATATAGCAACCAACCAACAGATCACCCTGAAGAGGCAAGTGCTAACCTATGTGGCTCAGACCAATCAGCCCTCTAAGAAGTCAGTAGTCCAGCCTTTCTTTTGAGGCTTGAACATTAAAATGTTCCTTTCCATTCTACAGTACTCCAAGTGCAGCTTCCTTTCCCCCCTCCTTCTTTCATATTAGTTTTTGCTGTATGATTTTCAACTTTCAGAAAGTTAAACCTGATCCAAAAAAAAAAAGGATCGATTGGAGAACTATGTGGGAGTGGGGAGTAGGAGTAACAGCTAGGTGTTACAGCTAGGTGTTAGAATGAAAGCAAAGTGAGAACCAAACTGACCGAGGGACTCAGGACTGTCTCAAGGCCGGGGCTTAAGTTTTGTGCCTATCAGTCTTCCATTCCCTGATTGGCCATACTGCCTTTTAGGGAGGAACCCAGGGTTTTAAGCAGACCGTCTACTCTATTTTCTCAGTCACATTTCCACATGTCAACCATTCTATGGCCTTAAAAAAAAGATGCCTATAGGTTTCTGAAAATCCAGAAGCTCTCCATATCCACAGAAAAACGTGTGGAAGTCCTGAAGGATAAAGCCAACAGAGCTATCTCTCTTATGGTAAACTGCCCAAAGATTATTTGGAGGCTGGAAAGGACTTTGGTGATTATGTATAAAACTCTTCCATTTTATAGAAGGAGCAATCAAGACCAGAGAATTGAAACAATTTAGAAATTCTTTGATTATTAAGAGCTTTTTCATTGCAGCCATTACATTGCCTTATTTCATTATCATGCTGGTTATTCTGGATAAGACTCTTTCTGGTGGCCATGCAATTGATGATGCAAGTTTAATTTCAGATTGCTACATTTGGGAACCCTTTCATGCCTGCATTGGCATATCAATAAAAACATCTCTTATCCCTTCAAGTTCTTTAATCTCTGATTGTCGGTGTCACTCTAATGTACCCGCCGCTTTATAGTTTAGTGATTATGTGTAGACCTTATACTGCATATGAGGACACAGGC